GCCACCTCAGCCCCGCACGGCTTCTGCAGGCCCTGGCCCCTTCCACAGTGCGCCAGCCCCAGGCTTGGCTGTAAAGGAACTTTCCCAGGCCGAACTGCAAAAAAAGATCTTAAGAATTTCACAAATTTCAACAGCCAGGGAAAATAAACACTCTGTGACAAGTCAGGCTGACGACAACGAGGAAGAGCCCAAGTAGTATAACAGTTACCAAACAGCACACACTAAACTCGAAAATTAAACCAAGTTTTTATTCAAAGCGTCTATTAAAATGACGGCACATCCACTCTTCTGCTGTTAAGTCATGCCAAACTACAACTTAAAATCTTTCCAAAATGCTGAACACTTCAAGATTTATTTAATCAATAAAACAAAAAGCAGTCTTCCACATCTCAATCTTTTTTTACTTGGTATTTTACCCAAAACTTGTCATGACACAAAACTACTTCAGCTGTCTGAATTTTGTCTACAGCCAAGTATAATTCAGTGTACTTGTCATACTTGAAGAAATACTCTGAGTTGCCCAAAGCACTACAGCTGACTGTGGGGGACAAAAAAAAAAAATTTAAAAAAAAAAAAAATCAATCCTAATGGACAAAGTTATGTCTGCAGTCTGCAACTGGCTGGTAATTACAGAGTTTTGTGCCCTGTGAAATACCACTCAGGAGCAATTCCAAGTTATGACTCAGAAGTACAACAGAATTACACTCAGGGCTCATTTTGGGATCAGGCTATTTGCATGCAGCCACCTGAAGTCAAAAGCATGCAACTTATTTGAGAAACTCCAAACCTATGCACACAAATTACCAGCTTTACATAGGCTAAGAAGCCTAGAATGACTACAGTGTTTCATATTTTTAAGCCTAAAAGACTTAAAACAGAGACAAGCAAGCCTGATGTCAGCTCAGTTTAGGAACTGAAAGCAAAAGTTAAACCGTATACCTGGTGCAAAATTATTTACATTCAATGAAAGTGATTTTTTAATTATTCAATTACTCTTTAGTTAAGTGCATCAATTACATGATGGTTAACGAGATTTTCAACCACAACAGGTTATCAATTATCAGAGAACATAATCCAACAGTTGCAGTTTCTGGTGTAAAAATCACACTACTTTCCTGGAACAGCTGTACACATCTGGTCAGTCTGTACCAAGTGATTAATAAATTATTTCTTCCTCTTGTTTAAGTGAGAGAGAAAGTGGCTTCCCTTCTCATCTGAATTTCCTGACCTTCCATGAGAAGGAGTTAAAGCAAGCAGGGCAGTAAATATGAATTATTAATATCCCCTAAATGAGTAGCTTAATGAAAAAAAAAAAACCAAACACACACAACAGAAAGTCCAATCTGAGAAGTCTCATTAGCATATTAGGAATCTCTGGTTGCTTTCAAAGCAAAATATGGAAGATCACAATGAGACAATGCTGTTTCAAAGTACATGTCATTCATGAAGTGACAAGATATTCTGCTAAACATTTTATATCAGCATCTGAGTACTAGGCAGCGTTCTGTAACTTCATTTATTTGGGAAATACATGAAATCACACTGTTAACACACTTGTAACTATTTTTGGAAGCCTATTTTCTAGTTGAATAGTGAATACTTTTCTGCAGTGTTTAATTGATAGCTGTGCTACAGTTAGTGAACACAAAATTGGCACGTTATCCTGAAGTAAAGCAGTAAGGTGGCTTTATGCACAGAAAGTACGGAGGCTTCTATTTGCTAATAATCATATAAAAGCAATACTTTAAAACTTAGTGTTTGCTAATAGGAGATCTAGAATAGTTTACTACAAATTCATACCACCCTGTAAATACCCCTTTTATTAACAAAATCAAGTGCCAAATCACTGCAGGGTCCAAAAAATCTGAAAAAAAAAAAAAAAATTTCCAATTTTTTACCTTTGGCTAGACTTTGCAAGACTAATCATTTTCAGAAAAACCCAACAATGTGCAAATGTTCCTAACATCACATGTTAGGAATAACAAGTGCTACCAAGAGATTCTGCTGAAACCAAATCAGAAAACATAAAACAGCAGTCAGGCCTCATACCTTGAGCAGTCACAGTGAAGATCCTGAACGATCTTACAGTTTCCTGCATGAAGCAGTTTCTTCCCCTGTACAAGTTGAGATAACTAAGCTTTGCCTTCCGCCTTAGGGATACTAGGTAAAGATCTACTGACATGGTTTCTTTGCTGCTTAACAATATCCTCAGACCTACCACTTAATACAAATTTGCTTAAATAGTCAGATAAATACTTTTTTCAGCCTTCTTTGGCCATGTGTACCATTCTGCTAATTGCAAACACTTTGTTTGGAAAGTGCTTCCTGTGAAAACTGCTCCAAAATAAATGAGTTAACCTTGCAAAATCTAGCTTCCCACAACATGCTAATTTGTCAACCCTGCATTATGCAGTCCCATATTTACAAAATACTTAGAAACTTTACATCTGTCTTTTACCTTACAAAAAGTGCAATTCTCTTACCCCATGCTATGGGGCAACAACATTCTTCATAAATTCTACAGAATAGCAGCCTATGATAAGCAAATAAGGTGCTTAGCTTATGCCCAGGGCCTAATTGGTTAAGTACCACCAGGAAGTACATTTTGTACAGGCAGGCTCTGTTCCTATCTACTGTCTCAGTGGTGCCACTGCTAGGTTTGCAAGCTCAATGAGAGCCAGTGCGCCATGCATGCGTTCACGCTGTTCCTGGAGGCGGCGGTGGCAAGCAGCTGAATGAGCGCTGTTTTTCTCTTCGTCATCCTCTTCATCAGACTGAAGATACTCCATTGGGTCCTGCTGTTCCTGATCCGTTTTCTGGATTGTTTTAGTTTTCAAAGCAGGAGCACGCTGCTCTCTAGTCTCCCAGTATCTACAAAAATCAAATGTGGGGAATGCTTTTAAAAACACATACAACTGACTCGCACATCAATAACTCAAAGCTGGCAAAAACCTCCCAAGTGCCACCCTGCATCTGATTGAGGAGTGCATTTGCCTTTATCTTTCAGCCCATATATGGTAGTATTTAAGCTGTCAGAAACCTCCTTTATTCAGTATTTTAATTGTAAAGTGCCCAAGTGAACATCTGTGACAGGTTTCTCCTCTACGTGGTGTTCTCAGCAGGCATTTCTCCCTAGACATAAAACAGTTGTTGCCCCTCATACAGATGCAAATGCAGGAAGACCATAGCACTAACTAGATATTAGCAGGTGTGGATCAAGCAAAGAGAAGCATATAAAGCAGAGAACAAAAAAAAAAAAACCCAAAAAAAAGCCACCACCACAAGTCTCATGAGGAATTTTGTCTTGACCAGGGGTTCACACTTCTTTAACGAAAAGCAAGGCAGGGCTGATTTGTACTGCAAGAACTGGTTTTGGTTTGTTAGTGGGGGGAGGGGGTTGCCCCTAAGAATAAAAAGCTTTCTCAGACCACCCTTACAAGTATTTAGAGAAATATGACAGCATGAGGGAACTTACTTTGCTAGCCACTCAGCCACAGCTTTATTGTCAGCTGTCTGCTTCTTACTCAGCCTGTCTGTGAGCTCTTCCCTCTTCAGTCGGGCATATGGATGTTTGGAGCAATGACGGTTTGCATGCGTGAATCTGCTTAAACAGCCTTAAAAAACCACAAAGTAACAATGAAGAACTCATTACGGAAAGGAGCCAACCGAGTAAGCAGAACATCTGTGGGATGAACATGGTGCTGAATCCAACCTTCCTCACTCACAAAACCCTACGTTTGCCTGAAAACAAGCAAGCTCTGGTTGCAAGGTTTGTAATGCCCCATCATTTTATACATTAGTGTCAACTGACAGGATTACCGATAACCTACTTACATAATAACACTAGCAATCCTCACAAACATATTTGCAGATTCTGCGAGGCTCCTCCCTTCCCTAGAAGCTCCTCCAAAATTAAGACCTGGAGCTTTTATGGATCTTTGCCACGTGAACGTGCACACATTTCCAGTACTAGACAGACCCTCATTCTGAGAGATGCAAATTGTTCCCTGATGGCTCACCATTCTCTGAGCAGACGAAAGGTTTCTCCCCTGTGTGGAGACGTTGGTGAGTTTTGAGCTGCCCACTCTGAACAAAGGCTTTCCCGCAGTCTGGGTAGTCACACAAATAAGGCCTTTCACCTTA